CTGTACTAGTAAAATGTGAAAATCACAGAAAAACACAATGAAACTTTGGTGAATCAAAAAAATACTTGGCGTGCATATGTATGGCATTGAGAATTACATTTGCACCAACTTTGAAAAAAATTGGACAGAGCATATCAAAGTTATAAGAGGTAAAAGACGGACAACGGACAGACGGACAGAACCCAATCTATAAGCCTTCGGCAGACTTCGTCTGCGAAGGCTAAAAAGAAGCAACTTTTTTTGCATGGCATGACTGAGTAAGAGGAATTATTGGTATAACCGGTGTATAACATCGCGAAGTAAGATAAGGCACGTAGTAACTTTGATGATCGTTTGGAAGTTTTATTTGTTCGTTCATTACTGTAAATGTAAACGTTGTAGAAGCTGATGGTACGAATATTGAACAATTTTTTGAAGGAGAATGTTTTTGTAGTAAATAAGATCATGGAAGTCGAGAACATAATCCAGGTTGAAACGTTTCAAATGCATTTCATTTATCCTTTTACAATTTATTTGTTTGTTTGTTTTTAATAGTCTGCAGCATTTGCATTTCGATTCGACAATATTTCATTTTATTAAATTCAAACTCTTCTAAATAGTGAAAAGTAATATTTTGACTCCAATAGAAAAAATATTTGCACTGTGACTGAGCTCATTAATATTACAAAAGTGCCCAAAAGAATAGTGTTTATAACACTGGATGAAGCAAATAAATATGTGCCACATTGTTTTTGAAAATATATGTTGTTTGTTATGTGGGTGTAAATGTGCTTTGGTCAATCTCTATTAATATGTAAATGATATTCAAATCATATGCAAATTAGTCCACCACAGTGGTTTAAATTCATAGGGAGAACACTGTAAGTGTATGACTTTTAATGTCATAATAAATCTTAAAAGATTATTTGATCAGATTATGATCCGGAATATTTTACTTACCAAATTTTGAAATATGAGGTGTACTTTGTTCAGTTCCACTACTATCACTTGAGAATTCATCCCAGTCTTCCCAAGAACATTTGGCACTAACCCCACTTAGATTTGAACCATCTGTTTCAATACCACGATCTACTTGTTCCGGTAAGTGGGGATCTATTTCAAATATTGTTTCTCCCCTTCTCATATCTGTAACTAACCATGGTCCACCAGCACTGAAAAGGCAAATATTTTTTTGTTTTACTTAAACAATATAGCATGTGAAATAATTGCAATGAATCCTACTCTATCAATTTCAAAGAAAAAATCTCTCTCATGACAACATAAGATGCATAAAATCAATGTTATCTGTTACCATTTTTTTTTGCAATTTCTGAAATTCAGTTATTTTTAAAGTATGAATGACAAAGCAAATATCATAGCCTGAGTTAAACTGGTTGTAACCATTTGCTTGGTTGTTGAGAATCTCAGATTTTTCCTTACAGCAAAAAGACATGCATTACTACATGCAGGTTTGATTCGTATAAAATTTGTTCATGGCTAAAAGTTGCCATTTGCTCACTGGCACTAAAAGATCCAGGGCCAGCCAACAGAGGTTGTACTATACAACTGACATTGTAATACTTACACAGGTATTTTTCTCATTAAATCTAAAACTGCAGGACCATTCCAATGCTGAGCCGTTTGTAATTCTTCATTACAGACACCAACGATCTGTTGGCGGAAATAATAAAATAATATCCAATGAAACCAACAACAATAATATATATTAGGCATAAACTCCAAACATTCTTCCTGAACCTCCAATATTAATGAGACACCTTCAATATTGCACACTGCAGAAGTTTGTCAATGGCAAAGAAAAATTAAGATACACATATTGAATGTGCAAAATCCTCTGGACTTTCTCATAAGAACTAGCCACAAGAATCCCTGGTATGTAAATTATGAGTACTGTAGTTGCCACGCAAGAGACGCAAATATATTAACTTACCACGATAGCTTATCAACAAGTTCACAACATACTTAAAGTGCCTGTGCAATGCCCACCCACACACTTCCCATTTTACATCTGTGCCCCACTGAAATGGGCAGTTATTGATTTTTTTGCTGAAAATCATTACTCGTATCCAAGTACATTTGGGATATTTTTCATGTTGTGCGCCACCAAATGCCAAAATACTGTAAAAGGGGTAATTATTCACTGGGTTTTAATTTAGCTTATTTCGCTGACTGGAAAAATGCGCTAAATTAAAACACAGTGAATATGTAAAATTTAGCATAAAACACATTATCTAAATGACGAAACCGTGAATTTAAAACTCACTGAATATGCCTGAAATGGTAAATCAGTGAAATTTAAACCCAGTGAAAATTAGTCATTTTACAGTATGAGAGGAAGTCATACCCCTGAGCCGTAATAACACCGGTCATTCAGTATACTTTTAAACGATATACATTTTTCAGTCGGCATTTTTTCTTTTTTTTGAGAGAGAGAGAGAGTTTTTAGATGTTGTGTTGTGGGCAGTTGCAGTGAAACGTATAGTCATAGTGTAAGTATTCACACGTTTCTAATCGATCCGAAGGTGCGACATCAGTGGACGAAAGCCACTTAACCTCAGGTTCTTTTTTTTAGAAAAACTGTCCTCGTCCATGAAAAAAAAAAGGTTTAAAAAGAAACGCCGACAGCGTAAACCTGGCGCAACACTTTTGAAAGAAATAGATTCTGGACCAGCCCATGATCACCGAGGCGGATTTCAGAAGAGAGAGAGAGAGACGTCCGGCAAGTGTTTCAAATGACTTGACTTTTTT